AAAGACGATGGACATAAGAACAAGAGTTATCCAAACAGATAACTGAAAGTTTTATAAGATCAGCGTTCCTTTTAAACATGGTCACGTTGTCGTCACGTGGGCGACGCTGTGAAAATGTATTCCTAAAATTTGAGTATAAAAATTCCTGCTGCGTCTAGTTTTTTCCTCATCCATGGGGAGATTGTCAAGCGCACTGCAATCCAGCATTCTTTTATTGTTTTGGGGTTTGTTTGTTTTTTTTTTTTTCTCGCGAAATGTTTGTTTTTAGCACTTTGATTAGCTTGCAGAATGCTTTTTGGGTTTATTATAAGAATTCAAAATGTATAAACCTAAGGAAGCCAAGAAAAGCTGTTTAACAGGAACATGTAAAAAAACTATCAGTCGATATTAGAATAATTATAGTTCACTTACACACAGAACCATGTCCGTTTTCCTAAAAGAATTCAAAAAGGAGAAAAGGTCGCTAGAACTAGGACAGCTTCCAACATTTCAACTTAAATTGAATCTAATGTTTTTAAACAACCTCGTTAGCTTGAGACTTTCATATATAGGTCATGTATGGCGCCAAAATCCGTTCAGAAGTATCTAAACTATCAGCTACATACAACCACTTTCTCAAATGAATTATAAAAATGGCACTACCCTAAATTACTACAAAATTAAAAGATTAACCTAAAAAAAAAACAAAAAAAAACCGGAGTCCTCTTCTTAAATTGCTTCGTCAGATCAGGACTTTCATATGGATGGCATATATGGTGCCAAATCCGTTCAGAAACATCTCAACTATCAGTTGTATACAACCGCTTTCGAAGATCAATGGTTTAAAAAAACTTTGAGCAAGTAAAGCCTAAGGGTCCTGGCAAAGACCACTCTTCTTTAAACATTGTGGACTGGCGCTACATAATCGCAAACAAAGTCTACAAAATAACAGAAAGTACATCTCTTGAGAACTACCATCAGCAAATACCAACATCAACAGCAAAAAATAAAATTGAGAACAGGTTTAGGGTTAGGGTTATCTCGAAGTGAATATATTTACATTATCAAGAGGTTGACATTTCACACATTTTCAAATAAAATATTTGGAAGGAAACCCTCATGAGTACTTTAAAGAGCGGTGAGAGCTACTGGACAGGGAAATTTATTTTCCTGAAAATTGTTTTAAGATAAAGATTTTATAAATTAGAACCGAAAGCATTACTGGATTCCAAATCAATAAATTCCAAATGTTTCCTTATATGGAAACGGCTGAAAAACTATTACTATTGCCAATGAAGAAAGAAGAGTCCTCCTCTGGGTTTAGTAGAATTAAGACTAAATTCTTTATTACAAATTACTGAAACCGGAAAAAATGTTATAAATGTCATGCTATAGTGAGCAAATTGCTCGGTTGAATGTCTGGAATAGAAAATACCTTTATCTGGAAAATGACATCAACTCCAATATTCTTGAAGTGAATACAATGGAGCAAATAATCTGGAAACATGGATGAGAAATACCTCTGCATGCAAGATCTGTCACTTTCAGATTATCATGTAATTTGTCCTGTGCAAGTGGTTTTGTAAGGCTAGTACGTCAAACAAGTTCAAGCCAATGAAAACTTCCAAGAAAAACCAATTTAATCAAAATTGGAATTATCATTTGAAAAGCATCATAAGAATTTTCAAAGTCAGGAAAATGAGTTCCAAATGAACTCAAGAGAATATGAGTGAATGTTTAAATGTGTTTTTGTTTTAAAAGAAAGATTTGATAAATTTCAACCGAAAACAGTACTGGCTTCTCAGTCAATAAATGCCAAATGTGTCCATGTAGCGGAAATAGCTGTATCAATTTACAATCATGAGGAATACCAATGAGGAAACAAAATTTCTTCTCTGTATTTAATCGAATTAAAATGAAATTACTGAAAACTGAAAAAAAAAACTTACTATCCCATGCTACAGTGAGCAAGTGGCTCGTTTGAATGTCTGGAATAGAAAAGACCTTTATCCAGAAAATGACATTAACACTAGTCTTCTTGAAGTGAATACAATGGAGCAAATAATCTAGACGCTGGGTCAGGAAATTCTTCCGAATGCACAAACCATTTTTTTCAGATTATTAGTTATTTTGTCCTATGCAACAGGTTTTGTCAGGCTAGTGCTTCAAACAAGTTCAAGACAGTGAAAAATCCAAACAAAAATGATTTAAACCTGAAATCATTCTTTTATGATAAATACACAATATATCATCATTAATATACAGTAATACAACCATTTAGTCAATGCCCAGTGAGTCGAATGATGGTGCAGCTACCAGTCTAGGAGCTAGGATGAGAAGTACCTCTGCATGCAAGATCTGTTACTGTCAGATTATCACATGTTTTATCCTGTGCAAGTGGTTTTGTCAGGCTAGTACTTCAAACAAGTTCAAGCCAATGAAAACTTCCAAGAAAAACCGATTTGATCAAAATTGGAATTATCATTTGAAAACCATCATAAGAATTTTCAAAGTCAGAAAA